GCTGAGCCCTAGTAAATTACACGCAGCCATCACAGCTCGTGAACATGTAGTTTTCCAACGCAATAATGTAAGTGCAATTATAGCCGCTTAAAGATGTGAGCTTTCAAATCTCTAAAACATCAAGTTTCTAGAGCATGCAACTTCAAAATTCTCACTTTTCTAGTGATATGAAAACATTCTCAAAAGTAATGTTTGCTATCTCGGCAGCGTCTAATGCTGACCTATCAAACACGATATGGAGTTCGATTTGAACGGTCTCGACAATGGGATAATTTTTGGAAGTTTGAGTTTTGTAAGCTGGCTAGACGATGAGAGTGCTCCCTGACAGCACATTCTCAGCCTTTCATAAGGCCTGTTATGGCACTTGTTAGTGGTGCACGTACGTTTCGACCTTCTGGCCTCATCAGTAGCACTATGCCTTTTGGTTCAGTCCAATCTCTTGTAGGGTGTACTCCGCGTGGGTATATTAAATCTTTTCTAAATTGTGGCAATAGGGCAATAAATACCATACTTATTAACCAAAAATAAAGTTGCATGATTTTGGCATCGTTCGACTGTGCATTTTCTTGTGACCATTTTGCTATACAACTTGCCCACACTTGACTAAACATGCAGCTATCTTGTAAACAAATTTTGGTCCATTTCTGTTAAATGGCAACAAAGAAATCTTGTAGACAAATTTTGGCCATTTCTGTTAAGTGGCGACAAAGGAATGTTTGACCTTCTTTGCTGGACAGAAATTTTTTCACAAGAGTGTTAGCAATCATTAGAAGCCTAATCTTGAGTTGTCGTAGTCATTTTCAAAACACCCTTTTAGAACACTGTAATATGCAAAGTAAAATCATGTTTCACTCTTTCCGCAGACCTTCATTTCGATCAAGCGTATAGTGAGCTATAGGCACGAAAAGCATGGAGTTTCTTTCAAAGGAGAAAGAATTACCAACTAAATTTTAAGTTGCACTCCACATGTCTAGCACGTCAAGCCGTCGATCGATGTCCCCACCTCCCTCCCTTAGATTAGCCTTAAGCATCTTACTCTTCGTCATACACTATAGTAAAACGGTCTTTCCAAGCAATAAGCACGCGTTGGAATCATTGAAATTTACGCTATTGAATGATTACTGGCAGTCTGAACAAAGAGTTCTGTTCGGCGAGGTGTAAAAGACACTATTTTTCTCCTACAGCGCTGTCAAAAGGCCTCTTCCAAAAAACAAAGACATTTTTGAGTTTTTCAAAGCATGTGCAATCGTAAGAGTTTTCTAAGGAAGGACTTCTTCCAGTGAGGAATAAGCGAGATAAGAAAAAAACGCTCAATAGTGCGAACCATAATCGTATTTTGGATTTTACAGCGTTATATGAGGGAGTTTCAAAAATCGGCTACGTACGACTCCAATCAAAGGTTTTAGCGAGTGATGATACGATTGCTGAAAGGTCAGCTAGGAGGTGGTTTGCGAAGTTCATAGCCAGAAATAGCAGTCTGAAGGATCAGTGGCGCTCGGGCCGTTCATAGAAAACTCCATTAATTGTACGTCGCTTCAGTAGCACTTTCCTCTACTCGCCAGTCGTGTATGAGTAGCAAGCTAATATGTTCCCTACGACAGCTTCATCTTTGAACAAGTTAGAGCATCCTGTCTAGCTAAACGTTTGCAACTAAATGTACAGTTGAACAATGCCAAATCGTGCATTTTATTCCTGGTGTAATATAGTGTTTATTGCTTTGTTCGAGAATTTATGAAACGACTTAAAAAACTTGTTTCTAGCCATTCTATTATGAATTGATGTCCAAAATTGGAAAACTTTTACGTACGCCTTTTTCTCTGTGCTGTGCATCTGACCACTTCCATCGTTCAATTTGCTCTCTTCCATTATTGTGAAATCTTAGATCTTCGGATATTTTGCGTGTTCGCTTGAGTGCTGTTCAAGGACTTCGTGTTATTGAGGGCTTTCGTCGGGCCGAGCTATTTCTATATAAAATTTCTAAATGACTCTGCTAGGAGGCCACCAGTTCTTTAGTAGAAGAAGTTTTTAGTGTATCGTGAATTGGATAGATAGAGCTGGATCCCGATATTCGGCAGAAATTTTCCGACCGCAAAGAAATGGAATGCTTGATTGGTCCCTTGCAACGTCGAAACACTTCGGCTTCTCGTCAAAGTCGATTCGCCTCAGAGGCTATGCCCGTCATGTTTTGGGGCCGAACCGGGCCGATTCAATGGGGCTTCCTGTCAGAGGGAGAGGCGACCAACGCCAAGCGCTAATGTGAGCACCTGCAATCTGTTGCAATCGAGCCCTGTCACGTCGATGTCGCCGCAATTTCAGTCTGCTTCAAGACAACGCTAAGCTGCATGTCGCCAAACTGACCGAATGAAAGTTGACCGAACTGGGCTGGGAGTTGCTGGGTCATTGGTCGTACAGTTCTAACTTGTCGCTGTCTAACCTCCTCAGGTCTCTGGAGCACTTCCTGAGTAAGAAGAAGCTCCGAGACATCAATCATATGCGTCGAAGATTGACAACCTCTTTGAATCCAAGGGTGACTATGAACGCGGAATTGATTTGTTGCATGACAGATAGCAGAAATGTGTTCAGACTCATGGCGCATACGTTGAATAGTGTTGCTAAGCAATTTTAACCATTAGTGAGGGAAAAAGTTCCTTGACAATCGCTCAAAATTCGAGCTTTTTTTTAAGAATTCAATTGGAAATAACAGCGATTATTTCAAAGATCGACTGTTTTTGAAACCCCAAAAAAACATTCGATATAATTCCAAAAAAGAATGATTTAAGCTCAAAAAGGGGTTGGTACGCCCAGGGTCATACACCGGTGTTTCGGAGGTTCGTCCTCCTCATCAGTGACCCCCGCCCCACATTCAGCCCTGCATTGAAGCAAGGAGGGAGGCGTATGTGGTGATGGCACAGTGTACTATGACACTGTACCATCACCACCTCTCAGTCGATAGATTTTTGCTGTTAGATCAAAACTATATCAAAAGATCGACTGTTTTTGAAACCCCCAAAAAACATTCAATATAATTCCAAAAAAAGAATGATTTAAGCTCAAAAAGGGTTGGTACGCCTAGGGTCATACACCGGTGTTTCGGAGGTCCGTCCTCCTCATCATTGAATGTTTTTTGGGGGTTTCAAAAACAGTCGATCTTTTGATATAGTTTTGATCTGACAGCAAAAATCTATCGACTGAGAGGTGGTGATGGTCAGTGTCATAGTACACTGTGCCATCACCACATACGCCTCCCTCCTTGCTTCAATGCAGGGCTGAATGTGGGGCGGGGGTCACTGATGAGGAGGACGAACCTCCGAAACACCGGTGTATGACCCTGGGCGTACCAACCCCTTTTTTGAGCTTAAATCATTCTTTTTTGGAACAGCGATTATTCTTCAAATAAACATCAACATTATCGGAGATCTTCTGCTAATGATCTGCAAGCTTCCGCATCTGCTTGAAATCATCATTCTTCGGGCTTCGAATCAAAAAACTCCTGACATGCTTCTTCAGCTTGATCGAATGTTTCGAAATGGCGTCCACACAGGAGATGTCCCACTGAGCGGATCTGGATCATAATCGCTTTGAAAATCTTCTCCAAAGGTGACCCAGCCTCATGACGAGCTCAGATATTCTAGGGATTAATTTTTTTTCCCTGTCGCAGAGGAGCCCTTAATGCATTATTATGCTCCAATCACCTCGAAATGATTCACATATGCTCTATTCACTACTCAATAGAGCATGCTTTAGCAATAGAGCAATATTTCGCCCTTCAAACATACTCCCTTCGTCAGTAGATATTCTATCGTTCTGTCTTCCTTCACTTTGCAACATTTCTAGTCATTCTTCCTTTTTTTTTCTTTACTTGTGATCTAATCGGCTTTAAATTGATTTTGGGTAGGTCACAATTAAATCAATTTATTGATTGGAAGCCATTGAACAAGAAGTTCCGTACGTTCTGTTTCTTTGAGCATCCGTCGTTTTTATTCTGTTTCTAGCTTCTATCGGAGCTTTTAATAGGCAAAACTTGGTGATTTGTGATCTATTTCACTGCAGTCACTGGCTCATTTAAGAAGGCATTGGTCATATTTTTGACGGACACTAGAATCGACTGCCGCACTTTCTAGTACACAGAGCCAAAGACCTGGCATGTATATGACTGTAGTATGTATTGGTACTTAGCAAACGAATCTCTCCCCAAGAGAGCTTGATCTCAACGCTGGTAATAGGCAAGTTGGATAACAAAATGTTCGCAATAAAATGCGCTACCAAGCGATAACAAAATCAAGCAGTTTTCATCGCATTTGGTTAATAAACTTGATGTTCATAGCTCTAGTGTCAAAACTTATGGGACGTATACCTAAGAGATCTGAGTGGTAGGCAAAAATTCGACCTCAGATGGGAGTTGAAACCGCGATTCATCCAAAGTGGGTCGCGTTCAACCACTGCACCACCGAGGCCACTGCTTACCCACCAATCATTCATTAAAATCTCTTTATCATAGCCATGAATCATCGACCGAAAGGTCTGAGGTTTGGGTCGCGAGGTTAATTTGAATATTATCATAGCAGAACGAAAAAGCAGTATAAACGTAAGTATTCCTGGATTTACATGGTACAATGGAACGCCGTGGCCGAGTGGTTGTGATGCTCGCCTTGACGCGCGTGGGGCTGGCTCCATTCCTTAATTCTGTCCTGCAGTGAAGAACAGCGTCTCGTGGAGCGTCACATCGAGGCTGTCCTCGAGATTGCAAGGAGACTCACCACTACTATTCTGCGTCGTTCAGGAACAGGACGAAGAACGAATTCATTGCTAGAAGTACTGGGATCCGCACAGTGAAGAAAAAGGTGTGATGACGGATCAGATTTCAATGAAATATAGTACAGTGGCTGTCAGTTTAACTAGGTTTATAGAGCGATATTTCTTACCGGATTAAACCTGTTAATTGTTGGTGGCTGACAGCCATGATAGAAAGATAATGAAGACTCAGTGGTCGATGAGCGATGGCCTCGGTGGTGTAGTGGTGGCACGCGCTCCCGGTATGGATGAATCGCGGGTTCAACTTCCGTCTGAAGTCGATTTTTTTGCACACCACTCAGTTCTCTTGAATGTACTCGGATCATCATAACACTTCGGAAAAGCACCAAAAACCAAGGGATTTTTGGACTTATGAAATGATCCAGTAACATGTATGAGTGGTGAATGGAAGTGTGGTGTCAACGACGAAGCGCTTCGTGATGGGGTTTCCTTGATTCTAATTGGTTTCCCACAAATTTCAGGCTGTCTTTCCGATGTTTGAGTGATGGTCGTTGTCTATCGTGGGAGTGATCAGCCTCCATTCAACTGGTTACCCGTGGCCATTACTCTCACAACGTTCTATGTCCCTCTTTTTGTCTTCGCCAACCAAGCTAATTTTGATTTGGAAAAGGTAAGTTTCCATAGTTTTTTTATTCCTTCTTGAAATTTATTCAAAATCCATGGGTTCTTTCTGATTTTGAAGGGACAGAAGAAAAATCGGCCTTATTCGCTGGAGAATGAATTTTTCTTAGGAGTGGTGGTAATCATTCAAAAACGGAGATTTTGGCTACAGCTCCACATCACCGGTTAATCAAAACACACTTTTATAACGCTGTGAAATCCACACAAAACTATGTCTCAAACGCACATATTTCTCGCCGGACAGACCTTTTTTCTGGCAGTTAGTATTAATCGATGGAATGGGGAATGATTACGCTATCGAATAATTTCTAATAGTCCGAATAAAGAGCTTTGTCCGGCTAGAAATATGCACGTATGCGCTGCAAGAGATCTCCTGTAGCAACGCGAAGAAGAGACTTTTTCGAAAACCGCCAACGTGGACCTGTAGCCTGAAGTCTCAGCTTTCGAATTATTACTGACACTCTTATGTGAAATTCTTCTCCAGCGAACTGGATCGCTTTCTCATTTGTTCCTTTATAATCAGAAAGAATCTATCCATCTTCTTTGTTTTCAATGCTATGTGTTTTTGACTCCTCTTGCAGTCATTGTCGTTGTCGTGTGATCGTCACTGTTACAACGGCCTTTGCTTGAATGGTTCTTGTATCTGTTCGAAAGGTTGGGTCGGAGCTCAGTGCGATCATTGTTATGGTCGTATAAAGTAAGTTAAGTTCGCTTGTTCTTTCCCCGTTGACTTTTTAGGAATGGCAGTTGATCGATCCCCAGCGCAACTCGCAAGAGGCGCGTGATTTTCGTTAGTCAATTAGGAGCTTTTCTCCATGAGGGATTTAAAGCCTTAGATTTTTGTGTTAATCAGATATAATATGATTTTCTCTACATGCTCATATGTTTTCTGTGCATATATAAGTTCTCCGTACGGAAAAAAAGCTTTGATGCAATACGTAATCGTCTTTTTGCTCTTACAGCTCGATTATATCCATTCAAAAAGAACCAAATATGGCATGCAAATCATCGAGATTTGAATTATCGAATGACTTTTAAGAGTTTGACTGAGAGTCGTATAAAAGCCCCAGCCGAGCCAATAAAGCATGCTGGGTGTGAAACATAATTTTATTTTCGTTGTTATGGGGTAATAAGATGGCTTTTTCAAAAATCAGGCATATTATTGAAATCACAGCGATTTAGGCTTTGGAACGATTGCCAGGTGTCTAATAAAAAGATTTTGTCCAGCGAGGAAAAGCTTTCAAACAGTCGTGTACCTCATCGGGTGCACGTCAATGCTTAGGGGTTAATATTAGTTATTATGTTGACGTTAGACATAAATTCATAGGTAAGGCATTGCGGGATAGTTCAATATCGTCATATATTCTCTCTTAATTCCGAAAATTAGCGCTTGGCGCAAATCTTTCTATATTTTCATTTTTGTTTTTATACGATCCCTCAAGAGCACAAGTGTCACAGTGCGGTTTGATCTCGTGCCCATGGCTCACCTAGCCATCCATTCCTCTAGGATCGCCAAACGATGCCAGACTGGTCCCAGACGTGGCTGGGGAAAAGCAATACCGATCCGATAAAGCGGCGGGCCACTTGAATACACTGTGAATACCAGATGTGCATTCATTCACCCCTACAATGGTACGAATGGAGGCGAATGAATAGCGTATCCCTCATGAATTGGGTCAACGCTGAGAGCTTTATCCTCTTATCCTTCATGCACAACGCTGTTACCACTACCTATAATCAAGAAATTCTTGCACTTTTGCCAAAATTCTCTCAGGAACGTATGCAGGGAGAAAACTTGGTAAAAATATTAAAACATGAAGAAACGAGTTCTCAACCCTTTTCGGATGGTGAGTGTCGTACTCGAATCTCACTGTTAACTCACCTGTTTTCGCTGGACAAGCTTTCTTGTTGGAATTCTAGTAATCGTTCGAAACCTTGAGTCCCCGCAATTTTAGCAATGTGCTTGATTTCTGAAAAGGCTTTATTAATACGCGGTAACAACGAAATCTAAACTACGTTTCACGCTCGGAGTGCTTTCTTTCCACGGTGAAGACTTGCGGATGGCTTTTCATTAGAGTATACTAATGTTCATTCTACAGCTCAAATATCGATGATTCTGGGGCTAAATCAGGTTTTTGAGAGGGCCTTCACAGTGTGTTGTACGAGAGAAAATAAAACTGCGCTTCACACATGCATAAGAAACTATGAAGTACCGAGAGTCGTATAAGAAAACTTGAACTTTTTTTATGCGAAACAAGAGATAAAAATCTTTGTTGAGGGACGAAAATTGCGCGCTGCTTGCGAAGATCGATCGACTTGCCTTCCACTAAGGGTTAACTCTCTGCGGATAGCGGAATAATCGATATCGCCAGTGACGCGCAGTTTTCGTTCTTCAGTAGAGATTTTCCCTTTATTTCGAAAGATGGTTTAGGTTCTTTGTAGCACTCTGATAAAACGTGAGTTTCTCTACAAGGTTTCTTGTGCAAATTAAACTGCGAATGTGAAACGTAGATTTATTTTCGCTCTGAGAGTGCGCTGTGAAAACCTTTTCGAAACTAGTCTAGATCTCGAAGTGGCCGATATATGGCCTATCCAATCAGCTCTGTGTATTCCAACTAAAAGCGATCCACAGACTTTACCTGGACAAAAGCGAGTGTGAAACATAATTTTATTCTGCTGCTACAGCTTACTACAAGGGCGTTTTTTGAAATACAAGAAAATTGCGTTTACACTTCTGTGTTTAACAATGGTAGGCTGTTGTTTGGAACAGTGGCACTCCGCTGCGTCTTGCAATGACACGCTAGGGGGTTGGAGATGCAGAGGAGGTGGAGTAAACCGTCTAAAGTTGCTAGTTAGAGATGCAGAGACCTTGACGGTTCCGAAAAGACTAACACTGCTGCTTGGACTGTTCTTTTTTCATTGTTGAGGTACTCGAGGCTTACACTGTAATTAGCAAGGTCTGTTCATTTTGTAGTTTTGTGTAGGTGATTTCAGAATGACTGAAAATCAGAGTCATCTTATTGATGGGCCTTTAGACTACACTTCTTCTTCAAAGTGTACATGGGTTATAGAAAATGTGAAGGTTTGTGAGTTTCCTGACTTCTTTTACTTGTAATATTTCTACTATTTCATTTCTATATCTTTTTTAGAATGCTGCAACTTCGTTAAATATACGGCTCGAGAATTTCCAAACAGAGTGTGGTTGGGACTTTGTATACATCTATGATGGCGACGGTGTCTATGGAGAACAACTCGCAGCTTTTTGGTATCATCGATATTTTGGACGTGTTCCCTTATTCGATTAGTGATAGTAGGTTTTTTGAATGAATATCATAAAATTTCAGTGGAGACCAACAAGTGCAGGAATTGAGCGCACCGTCTGGAAAGGCTTTGATATATTTCTTCAGTGATCTTGCAATGAATTTAAACGGGTTCAATATCACGTACGAATTCAATAAGTGAGCTTTGTTAAATCATTACGTAAATTAATATTACAGGCTTCAGTGACAGTTTCCAGAAATTCACGGCTTATGATATCGGTCAAATTCATTTGAATTTGTTTGCTTTATATCTTATTTATATAACTAACATTGAAGATGTCCATATAACTGCCACGCGCATGGTTCGTGTCAGAATAGCAATTGTATCTGTGAGGAAGGCTTTACGGGTACGATTATTGTTTTACAATTTCTTAACAGTCATTTAATCTTGTTTTATAGAGCATTTTCTTGCTTTTTTAGGTGCCTACTGTGATATGCGAACATGTACTAAGCGCGATGAGGGAAAACCAGGACCATGTTTGCATGGTGGGATTTGTAAAAACCTTCGATGCTCTTGTGCGACTTCTTACCACGGTGAGACTTTGTCATGAATCAACGACAAAACTTCGGTAATGTTCGCAAGGACTTTACTGTTTTTTTTTTCTAACAGAAAAGCGACCTTTATCCCATAAGTCGGTTGTCTTGTTGAGGTGTTGTTTTCAAACCAAAAGTTCACGTAGTCATCATTATATTGCTTATTTGAATACTTGGATGGCTCGTCTACATGAGCAGTGTGGGACCCAACCAATTCGTTTTCTGCGCATAAAATTGTTGACCATGACGATGGTCTGCTCTGAACATGGTGACTTCCGCGAGACCTACCTTTAACCCTAATCTCGTTGCCATTTGCGCATGCAGATGGCTAACGTTGACCACGAATCGGTCCACTCATCGTATTTTCAAGAGAACGCTTGCATTCTGCTCGAGTCAGTTCAAGTGTTATTTTATTCCATCTGTCACGTCTTCTTCTTATTATGTGACCTTTCGCCATCAATGTATGTTCTCCTAGGTCTTGAGGTAAGATAATTTTCGAAGATCTGGGCTGCCCAAGCCCGCTAAGCGTTTTAGGTGCCCATTGAAATTAGAAGAGTTTGTTTATACATTTCTTTTGGACTTTTGAGCTTGTAGTGATTTAGTTTCATAACATATCTTGAGCCTTTAATGAGGTCTGTCATGGCACTTTTGTAGTGGCACTCATATGAAGGAATCAACGACGAATAGCTTACACTGCCGTGAGGTGGAAAGACCACCCATCTTGCAGTGTTTTGCAGTCGATTGCTCGTGATTGGTGAAATCTATCGTGTAACCCCTTTCTCCT